TTTTTTTTTTGATGATATGCAATTTTAAAAACGGGAGAAATAAAGAAGAAGAAAAGGAAGAAAGAAAGAAGACAACAAAGAAGATGACAACGAAGAAGAAGCAGAAGTAGAGGTAGAAGTTGACGGCGGAGAGCGGGGTGAAGAAGAAGAATAAAAAGTAGAAGTAAAAGTAGAAGTACAAGAGGAAGAAGAATAAGAGGAAGACGAAGAAGAAGAAGAAGTTAATTGACAAGGAACGCCTTTGAAGAGTTTATTAAGTGCAGCAGTGATTTTGGATGTTGCTGAACGTTTTCCGTATTTTATTTTCAACTTAACTTCTTCACAAATCTTAAATTTTTTTGAATTTTTTTTTTTATCTTTCTTTATATTCCATTCTTCGTTAGTATAACTCAAACTCCGCTAACTGTTGGTTGGTGGAGGATGCCAAACTAAAGATATCGAATGGGTAGCTGCTGAACAACTAAATGGCTCCAAGAAGATGCTCGTCGTGTAATTCGTTCTCTTCGACCTAAGCAAAACCGTCTCTGTTCTAGTTTACAGTTTACAGTTCGTATCAAACCATGTTAAGGTTCTGAATTATAAGATGAGGGATGAAAAGAACGAAAGGAAAAGTAATATGTTGAAGGCGAACTTCAATTTAAATTACTCACTGTTTGTTGTCTTATTTGGTCGTACCTGTTTTATTCTTTAGATAGTAGTTGAGGAATGACGAATAAGATTGGAATATACTTTAATTTACAGATAGCAGTTTTTTAGTTTATTTGAGAACCACCAAAAATATAAAAGAATAAAATTTGCTTATCAGCGGTACTTTTTAGATACAGCTTAATAGGTTCCGAGAAGTTAAATTCTTGAATTTTTTTTACTTGTTTAATTGTTATTGTTTTTTTGCATTCGGTGAGTATATTTATTTTTACTGTCTATTTTTTTTTTTTTGATGGATCTAGTTTATGGTAAACTGAGAACAGCGCAATTAGTTGAGCAGTAAGTATTCTTTACACCTATATTTGATTAATTTAAATAAAAAAAAACTGAAGAAAAAAATTTTTATTTTTGTAACTTTTTTATTTTTTTGCTCTATCTTTTACCTCTGTTTTATTTCCTGAACTTCTTTTTTTGACAGTTTTTCTATTTTTTTTCTTGTTTCCTTTGTGGGAGACTATTTGCTACTAAAAGAATGGTAAAGAAGAAAACAGTTAACCCTTTCTTCTTTGTTTTGAATCTATTTATCCGCTGATCGTTCTTTCATTGCTTTTTCTATTTGGTATTTGCTGAAACAGTGATAATCATTGATTTAATAGTTTTACTTCTTTTTTTATAACATTTGCAAATAAAGAAGGTGTCTAAATTACCCTATTCAAGCGAGTACTGATACTAACATTAGTTGTTGACTGTATCAGTAACGAGGGTGGCCGCGCTGATGGTTTTGGTTGTTTATTTTCGCTGAAAACGATTTTTTTTTTTCGAGGTGGAGAGGGCAAAGATGTCATTCGACTTCTTCTTCTTCTTATTCTTATGTTTCCGGTTTTTTTCTTCACCATCGTTCTCTTCTTCTTTATATTCTGTTTTGATTTTGATTTTTAGGTTTTTTTTCTGTTTTTATTTTTGTTACTTGTGATACTTCAATACTCTTCTTTTTCCTCTCCTGGCAAAAGAAATTTTTTTGTCTTCAATAAGGTGTTGTTGTTGGGCATTTTTTTTTTGTTTTGCAGATCTTTGTTTGTGCATATTCTTTTATTTATGCTTAATTGTTTGCTTTTTTTTTTTTTAAAACACGCTTCGCGAACATTTTTTTTGTTTTTTTCTATTGCATAAAT